CAGGGAGAATGTCTGTCTTCTCTTTTCACTGGTCGCTGACTTGAGATTAATTGTTGCCTTACATTACTGAAATAAACTTTTTAGTTAGTATCTTTAACAGAAAAAACAGATCTTTACTGTTTTTCTGTGTCCCCATCGTTGAAGGGTTATTTCAAGTCTACAGGACCTTTGAAAAGACCTAGATGGCTCACGTGGACAGGACAGTTATCCCTAAGGGGTCATGTGGGCAGAGAGTTCAACATGGAAATGTCTAGCTTAGCATATTTTGTCAGTGAAATACCGAGAAAATCGCTGAAGGATGTGGGGATGGGCAGAAGAAATGGTCTTTCAGCCAGTGGCCCGCTGCTCACTCTCCTCTCCACCCAAGGAAAGGGCCCGGCCACTCCCCGCAACAGAGTTCCCTGCGCAAGTTATGTGGCTTTCTCGGTGAACTCCCTTGGAAACAATGGGAGTATGCTTCCTCATCGTACACCTTGCCTCCTTTTAGGGCCAATAAAGCCAAAATGCATTTAGGCCTCTGTATGTCTGACTCTCTTTATTTAGAAAATGTCTTCGTTAACGTTGAAGTACATTAGTGTAGATTTTTTTTGATACTACTACTTCCTTACTGATTTGTAAAAATAAAATTTCTTCCAGTTTGGCCCTATACCATGACCAAGTGGGATTTATCCAAGGAATGAAAAGTTGGCTTAACACCTGGAAAAATCAAAGTACCACACCATGTGGTAGTTGTTGTTATTAATTCTATTGATATCACCTCAGTAGATACAAAGCTTAACACCTTTTCATGATAAAAACACTCAGCAAACAACTGATTGATTGTCTTTATCAGGGTGAGGAAGTTCACTTCTACAAAACACCGCTAACATCATCATGTGTGATGAAAGACAACCAGCATGTCCTCTACTGCCACTGAGTGTACTGAGGCTCCGGCCAGGGCGGTTTGGCAAGAGACATCTAGATTAGAAAGGACAAATTAAATCTGTTTCTAGGTACGGATGACATGATCTTAATAAATCATTCAGCAGTGTTGTAGGAATGTATCAATACACAGCTGTCAACTGACTTCTGTAACAAGAAAATTCTCTTGACAGTAGCAGTAAGAGTCAAGTACCTAGTAATAAGCATAACAAAAGTACAAGATTGTTACACCGGATACTAAAACATTGCTGAAGGAAATCCCACGTTTGTGGATTCAAAGTTCTCCCAAATTGATCCACAAATTGAACACAATCCCAGCTCGTGTGTGTGCGTGTGCGCACGCGCACAGAAATGGACAAGCTGATCCTAAAATTCATATGGAAATGCAACGAAACAAACTTTAAGAGTCCCATATTCAAAACTTCCTACAAAGTAGGGACGGTAATCAAGACAGTGTGAACACATATCAATATAATAATACAATTGACCGTCCAGAAATAAGTCCCATGTGTTTATAGTCAAATGATTTTTGGCAATTCAGTGGGAAAAACATTTAAATGGTGCTGGGACAACTGAATATCCTCCTATAAAAGAACCAAGTTAGATCCCTCACTTTATACGATACACAAAAAATTAACTCAAAATGGGTCAAAGATCTAAATGCAGGAGGTAAAACTGTAAATAAAATTTAAAAAACCAAAACAACAAAGGCACAGATCTCCATTACCCTGTGTCAGGCAGTGGTTTCCCAAAGCACAAGCAACCAAAGAAAAAGTTGAGCCTTCACCAAAATGAACAACTTTCATGCTTCAAAGGACAGTGTCATGAAAGTGACAAGGTAAGCCTTTAGAATGCGAAAATACTTGCAAGTCATATCTGATCAAGGTCTAGTATCCGGAATGCATGAGGAACTCTTGCAAAGCAACAAAAAGATAAATGACCCAACTGTGAAATTGGCTAATAGCCACATGACGAGCCACCAGCCACCACGAACATGCACGTCTACGTCGTAACGGCACCGCTTCCCACACAACTCGGATGGCTCAACCAAAGATACAACAACAAGTGATGATGGGAGAAACTGGAACCCACCTCCCCTGCCAGTGCAATGTAAAAAAATGGCACGGGCACTCTGGAATGTGGTTGAGATTTCCTCAGAGCATTAAAACCGGTTATGTGACCAAGCATTTTCACTCCCAGGGAAAACTGAAAACATACATCCACTTGGAAACCTCTATGTGAGCGTTCACAGTAGCCTCATTCGTGATAGTCACAAAGTGGTAACCACCCAGATATCTCAACTGACGAATGGACAGATACACTAGATGCATGAAGTGTAACACTATTCAGCCTTAAAAAGGGATGAAGTCACGGATATGTGAAGATGGACCTTGAAACCATCCTGCAAAGTGAAAGAAGCCACACAGAAAAAGCCACATATTCTATGACTGCATATATACCAAATGTCTTCAGAAGAGGGAAATCGATAGAAACAAAGATTTAGGAAAACAGGGAAGTCAGAATCCCCTTTAATCCCACCTACTAGAGGCAGGTGGCCCGTCTCCTCTACATTTATGCAATTTTGTTTGATGGAAGTCCTTTTCATTACATTTTGGACGTTTTCCATGTCCTCAACATGGATTTCTCTTCCAAACTTCTGCGGTCAGACATACAGGATGCTGCCAACTCTTGACGCTCCTATCCTAAATGATTCTGCATATAAATTTTTAACCTGTCTTGATTTGTAGTTATTTCATAAGGAAAATTCTATGGGGCGGAATTATGTAATGAAAAGAGTATTTCCGTGGCTTTTAATAAATACACATTTTGCTGTCAGCCTGAGTGATGAATAAACACAAGTGCGTGTAATGGTTTTATTGCCCTTTACCAAGTAAAAAAAAAAGTACACATTACAGAAGTAGCAGCAACTTTAATTACAAGCAAACGTTGACTCTACCCCCACCCAAATGACTTCTTGTTTTGGTATCAGCAAATAATTCAAACTTCAAATAGTTCTACTGAATACTGAAATTCATTGGTTAAAATTATGGCTTAAACATTGACATGTGAACCAAACAAGGCAAAATAAAAATATGAATTAAAAAAAAAAAAGTGAAGTCTATTACAAATTACCAAGAGAAGATTTCTGTAAACCTCCCAATTGTTCCGCCTTAGGGCCGTCCATTTCCTATTACATGGAAAAGCAAGTCTAGGAGACCAGATTCATTGGTGGTGTTCCCCACAGGAGTACAGTTCACTTACTGGTGCCCTGCTTGTAAGAGTGCAGGACGGACCCAGCAGCACATTCAGAGATTTGAGAGGATCACAGCTGTTTACAACGGTGAATCATTTTTATTGACCGCATATTCACACCAAACACAAAAATAATGCTAGTTCTCCTCCTAATGGACTAGGACAGGAGAAGAAATTTCAGGTTGGTTTCTTGCTGGGCTGCACGTACTCACATGGGAAACATTATTGTTCTATCCTAAGATTCAGGAAAGGTGGTTTAAAACGAAGGCTTAAATAAAGTAGCACCAGAAAGAGCAGGTACCATAATCACATATCCCACCCGTTCAGGAGTTTGGGGACGTGACGTTACTGCACTTGTAATGTAAAAAGTAAATGATAGTAAATTACCAAACTCAATAATTTAAAACACTTTGATGAACTTTGAACTAAGCAATTTCAAAATGCTTTTGAGTTTCCCTTCGAAGGAAACCTGGCCAGGACAACTGTATCCAGCCATTTACTTTAAAAAGCCAGGATAGAGGACCAAGTTTTATGTTTAAACTGTAATTGCACTATGAGAAAGGAGGCTGTTTTACATAGTGGTATGAATTTGGTCCACATCAAATACATCGTTATTACAAAAATAAACAAGTTTGTTTTTGTAAAAAATAACATTGCATTCCTTTGTTCAAATTGCACAGTACAAACAAGCTATCTAAATTAATACTGACAGAAGGTAACCGGAAGTACATACCGTGGATATGCGTTTAGTCTGAAGCAATTAGGATAGGAGTATGCAGGTAGGTTTTCATAATGTATGAAAACTAACATTTAAGTCCTATCTAGAAATACATAAAATATTTTAAAAGTTACAATGAAGAATGCATTGTTCACATAGTAATTTTTAGTAGCCGTGATAATACAGGATTCAGCAGTCTATTTACATGAAAGTCCCATTTTTATTCAATTTACAAAAGCAATAAATAAGAAACTACATTAATTTGCACAAAACCTGTTTGATTTCATGATCAGTGTGACCGTTTCCGTTACTGTATGACCAAGCCAATAAACCTGTTCTCTTCTCTGAAGACTGCTCAGATTTGGAAAGAAAAGCAAGTCTTGTCTCTCTTCCAAGAGTGAGAATAGCCATGCAGAATCCAGCATAAAACCTTACAGATTATAATATAAGCCCTAAAAATATGAACAGTGCCTCTGAGTATATTTACACAAGAGTATTCACAAAAAGATACAGTTCTCGGATACAAAATAGTTTAGTGGTATCTAACAGCATAATTGATAAGAACCCCCCCCCCCCCCAGACCCCTGCCCACACGGACTGGCAGGAATCAAGCTTGCTAAGAGAGCAGGCACACAGCTTCCATCAATTCAGGACTGGGACTGAATGGGCTACAAAAGGCCAAGGAGCACGACCCTGTCACAACAGCCACACGGTGTGCCATGGCAGGTGTCCATTCAGGAGGCCCGATGACGGAGCCCAGTGCTCTCCATCCGAAGGGGAACACAGGTAGCTCAAGTACCCGATGAGCTACAGCAAGCACCTTAGCATTTAAATTTAAAAAGCAGTCTGGACACACGCTGAACCAGAAAACACGTAAGAAGCTGTTAAGTAGTGAAAAAGTAGGCTCGTCTAGGGCAAAACAATCCCAAGGTTTAGGAGCTACCATTCTTTACGAATAAAATCAAAATATTCTCATGTACAACTGTACAGTGCTCTTTATTACTTTCCACTGCAGCTTAAAAAATTTTATGAAAAATGATTTGATATCACATTTTTATGGAGTCAGATTTCTTAGAAGAGAAAGAGTTAAAGTTCAGTAATACCTTACCAGAGTCTCTGAGTTCTCTCCCTGGTTAAATCGTCCAGCTAGGCCAGTTTCCTCAGTTGCACATGCCGCTGCAAGTTAACACTGCCCGTGGTGATGGCACGCCGCTGCCGTTAGGACACAGAACAGTCGTAAGTCCCGTCTTGAAAGGATTCCTCCTCCTCTGCTCGGGCTGCGTCCTCCTCGTTCCTGCTGACCAGACCGCTGCCTCCGACCTCGCCCTGGGGGAGGCTTCCATGGCCCGAGGGGCCCCGGCTTTCCTCTGCCCGGGGCCCAGTGTGTTCAGGAGTCTTACCCGCAGTTATTGGCTGGAAGGCTTCAGGCTGGACCTGCTCCTCTGTCAGCTCACTGAACTTCTGTACTTGTGGCTTAATGATGTTTAAGAATGGCTTATATCCAGGACTAGGTAGAGAGAAAAGAAAATTAGCTCTCTACTGCCACATTGGAAATGCTCCATGGAATGTTCTGGATAAACTCCTAAATGCTGAAACTGAGGTCAATGCTAGATGTTGCGTGGAGGGGGAGGAGGCACAGGGTAGGAAATGATGCCGCCCCCCCTTGGTGTCCTGGCCAGCACGGGGGGGGGGGGGGGCAGCCTTTAGTGTGTGTGTCTTACAGCTCTGAGCTCGAGGAGCAAGGACTAACATTCTCCAGTAGTAGCATAATTCAAAAATCCTATTCCACAGGGCGCCTGAGTGGCTCAGTGGGTTAAGCATCTGACTCTTGGTTTAGGCTCAGGTCATGATCTCACGGTTGGGGAGTTCAAGCTCCACATGGGGCTTGTCCTTCACGCTGTCCTGGCAGCGTGAAGCCTGCTTGGGATTCATTCTCTCTCTCTGTCTCCCCCACTTGGGCTCACTCCCTCTCAAAATAAAAAACAAACTTAAAAAAAAAAAAATCCTATCCCACAGCGTAAGGACCAACAGAGTTACAGACTTGAAAAAGAACCTTCACAGGGTACATCTAATCTTAGTGAACTTGGCGACTAAGAAACAAACTAGCTCCAAGTAAGGGAAACCCCAAATCCACACCTAGCTGGTTATAAAGGACTAGAAGCCAAAGCTCTTAGCTTCTAACCACTAACTCTTAACTTGGGCTTGCTGGTCACTGCTATGGACTGTTAAATGCACACACTCCTCTTTTCAGCAGATGCTTAGAGGTTATTACCTGCAGTTCTACAGAACCACAGATCTCATGTTCCAGACTAACTCGGAGACCACCTGTGCCATGCCGCTCTGTACTCACACACATGGCTGGGTAGAGAATGGTGACTACAGAAAACCGCTTGAGAAGTGAAAGTGTGGGGGCACCTGGGTGGCTCAGTCCGTTAAGGGTCTGACTTCGGCTCAGGTCATGATCTCACAGCTCATGGGTTCCAGCCCTGCATCAGGCTGTCAGCACTGAGCCTAGAGCCTGCTTTGAAGTCTCCGTCTCTCCCTCTCTCTGGCCCTCCCCCGCTGGCACTCTCTCCCCCTCTCAAAATTAACTAGGGGCACCTAGGTGGCTTAGTCGGTTAAGCATCCGACTTCAGCTCAGGTCATGATCTCATGGTTCGTGGGTTCGAGCCTCGTGTCGGGCTCTGTGCTGACAGCTCAGAGCCTGGAGCTTGCTTCGGATTCTGTGTCTCCCTCTCTCTCTGTCCCTCCCTTGGCGCGTTCTCTCAACATAAATACACATAAAAAAAAGTGAACAGAAATGAATGTGTGAAAGCACTTTTATTTCTACCAACCTAAAAATCTCCAAATAAATTTAGCAGAACTAAACCTTACTCGGAAGGGGCAGGGCCCACCCCAGGACAGCAGAGGTAACAAGCCTAAGGAGCCCCACACTTACCAATCCGTAGAGGCCCATCGGTCTACCGCGTGTAGCCCTGTCTTTATGTTCTGTAACATCTCTCCATCCACCTCCGAAGACTGGATGAGCAGCAGGATCTGGCTGATTACTGAGGATTCTCGGAGAATCAGGCCTATGACGATGCACCAGTCTAGACACCCTGCCTCCATGAACATGTGCAGCAAGTACCTATGCATGAGAAGAAACACAAAGATCGACACTAAGAAGCCGCAGATGGAGACGGGAATCGTCATCAGGAACGGAGCCCCTGTACGCTATATGCCCAAACACGCTGAGTAGGCGTTCTGGGCTTCTGAAAAACTGAGAAACTCACCGAAGCTGGACCTGGGATTTATGAGGCCCCTTACTGGCCAACTCCATGGAGATGTGCTCCAGCTCCGACTGAGTTAAACTGAGTGTGGAGAAGTTTTCATCCACCATTGTCCAGTCTCCGTCCACCATGGAGCTACTTTCCGTCAAATCTGTGGCTGAACCAATACTGCATTCATCACCTGATGAGAAAGGACCGAAAGTTATGAACTAGCTTCATGAAGAAAATGTTCAATTTGAAATATTAGCAGTTCCTCACATGTGGATTTCTGCTCGGAATTCTCAAAGCCAAACATTAAATCCACTGCTAAAACTCCCATGTTATGTTAACAGTAGTAGATATTAAAAAAAAAAAAAAAAAAAAAATTCACGCCAGTCAGAGTGGCTAAAATGAACAAATCAGGAGACTATAGATGCTGGAGAGGATGTGGAGAAACGGGAACCCTCTTGCACTGTTGGTGGGAATGCAAATTGGTGCAGCCGCTCTGGAAAGCAGTGTGGAGGTTCCTCAGAAAACTAAAAATAGACCTACCCTATGACCCAGCAATAGCACTGCTAGGAATTTATCCAAGGGACACAGGAGTACTGATGCATAGGGGCACTTGTACCCCAATGTTCATAGCAGCACTCTCAACAATAGCCAAATTATGGAAAGAGCCTAAATGTCCATCAACTGATGAATGGATAAAGAAATTGTGGTTTATATGCACTATGGAATACTACGTGGCAATGAGAAAAAATGAAATATGGCCTTTTGTAGCAACGTGGATGGAACTGGAGAGTGTGATGCTAAGTGAAATAAGCCATACAGAGAAAGACAGATACCATATGGTTTCACTCTTATGTGGATCCTGAGAAACTTAACAGGAACCCATGGGGGAGGGGAAGGAAAAAAAAAAAAAAAGAGGTTAGAGTGGGAGAGAGCCAAAGCATAAGAGACTGTTGAGAACTGAGAGCAAACTGAGGGTTGATGGGGGGTGGGAGGGAGGAGAGGGTGGGTGATGGGTATTGAGGAGGGCACCTTTTGGGATGAGCACTGGGTGTTGTATGGAAACCAATTTGACAATAAATTTCATATATAAATAAAAAAAAAATAAA